CGCTCCAGCAGGGGTTGCTGTGGGATTTGTTAAGACATCCAGCTGAACATTCTGATTCGCTAGGAGGGACTGAACCAAGCCAATGCTTTGGGCAGGGGACATGGCCTGGGCAGGACTATGGATGGGGGCAATGGGGATGTTGACAGTGCAGGGCGGGTTGTCATCAGCGCCACCAGCAGGACCTGTGACAGGCAGGTCATCTTCATCCTCACTGAAGACGCTGGGACTGAAAACAGGCAGGTTAATGTAATCCATGGAGATCTTGCGCACCTCTGGCAGGTAGATGGTCATCTGTCTGGGCTGCAGATGGAGGAGGCTTGTCTTATAGATGACTGAGGGGAGAGGGACAGGGTAAGGATGAGAAAAAGAAAAACACAGACTGAGAAATTAGACTGATTGAAATGGCTTTTATTCAGGTATTCATTAATTCTTTAATTTTAATTAGCAAAAAATAAAGTTGTTGATTAATTACCTGCACCAAGATTGGTTGGCAAGAATGCAGCCAGCCCCACTATCTTAAACTTTGTTCCCCAAATATTAGATGTGACCTGAGCAAGGTAATTTTGCTGCAAGAACAAAGAACAGTTTTAAAAATTCTTTTGTATGAAAATATAAAACAGTATATATAGGAATATATCAACATAATACATTTTCAAGAGCTAAAGCTGTGAGATCAGTTGTGCTATGCTGCCCTGCACTCCACACCCAATCATCATGGCCAGTCCACAGTACACAGATGTGCAGTAGAAGAGACATGGTCCTTGCATGCTTCTCACTTAAACTTGCTTCCAATTGTGTTTTATGGAGTCACAAGACATGCAAGAATCACTGCCACTCCAGAGGAAATCATGAATTTGGCTCTAATAATTTGACTTTTACCTGAGTGATGTCATCTAGAGGAAATTCCCTCCGTGTTAGACTGGGTGACCCAATTGAGGGTTTCCTTATTGGTAACTGTGGTGACCTGGAGATCTCCTGCGCAGCACGAGACAGTTTGGGCGATTTTCTGGGATCAATGTTGATCCTGTTGGTAAAGGGACAAACTAAGTCTCTACAGAGAAGGTAGCAAATAAAAAAAGGTTTAGGCATGCAGTGAAACACATTTAGACCATTCTTTGAAAATCCATCATTGGTGCAAAGGGTTAATACAGAAAGGTAAAGATTTCAGTAATAGCAAAAGGCTATAACTGCTGGGATGCCACGCAATTTGTCAAACGTATCCCTGAGATACAGTGTACAATTAACCTTTTGTACATTCTGGTACTTGTTGTATTAAACAATGTTAATCAAAAAGGGCAAGATATTTGTCTAATATTTATTCAAGGTTTATTCCTCGTGCTTTCATGTTGTTGTAGGACAAAGTAACAGCTTTGCAAAAAGTCTGAATTCATGCTTTGTGTCTCTACTTTCACATTAACATTCAAAATTGTTTTCAAAAAATAAAAACAGTTTCTTGATTCAAACATTGTGTAACATGTTAAAAAAAAGCTTCAGGAATTTATTAATAGTGCTGAAACTCACACTGTTTTCTGTTTCACTTGGACTGTTGACTGCTGATGGGCCAAAGAACCAACAGTCACATTAAAAAAATAAAAGACACTTCTAGTTATAGACAGCATGCTGTAGTACACAGGGGTCAAGTGTCCGTTACCTTGGCAGTTTGGGGGATTTGCTGCCCCTGGATATTTTTGGAGATTTCTTGCCAACCCAGTCATCACTCAGCTCAATGTCACTGGAGTCTGAGCAGTTACAGCTGTCAACCATGGCAGATATCAGACTGTTGCCATATATCTCATCTGGGGAGAAAAAAAAATAGGACAGAAGATGAAAAAAATCTAGTTAATGGTATAGTTACAAATGTGCAGTTCTCAATATTTAAATAAACACAATAAAATGCATGCAGTTATTTGTTTTTCTCATCTACAACCACTAAGCTGTTTCCCGTTCTTTCAGGGAAGGGTGATGGAAGCGCAAATATAAGATGCTCCAGGAAACAACAGTCTAGGCCAATTATTACAATAAAGTTTGCATTGCAAGAAATACACTGGAACGATCTGGAGGCAGGAGCCTTCATCATTTTAACAAAAATATGCAATATTACACCATTTCTACAAACATCTAGACCCATTCAGTCCAAAATGATGTTTCAGTAGTATTAATTCTTCTCTGTTTCCTCATGCTCTGTGAACCACAGCTGTTCCAGTTTAGGTCAATCTCATTTATTTGATGGACATTAAAGTGTGAATGGGCTGGAACCATTTCATGGCTGGCTTCATTTATCACTGTGTGGGGTTGATTTATGAGGAACCCAGGTGCCATCACAGCCCCCGATTAAGAAGTCTTTAATTAACATGGGCCCAGTCTGGCTTGTGTGACTAAAACATGCTCACTCTTTGAGTGCCAACTCAAGAACCTAAAATAACTGGAAAAGTACTAGAACAGGCAAATATGTCTTCTTAATTGTATTCTAAAAATGAAGAGCTCAATTCTGGTACCTTATATTTATGAGCATCTGCTGTACATACAAATGTGGTATTCATATTAAAACAACTGACTTGAATGTCCTAGGTCCTAATGTTTGCATTGCACACTCCAATCAGGAAACATGGTAACTGGTAAATTATTTTGTTAGGTTGTCAAAATGAAGGAAGGTCAGTTTTACCAGCTTTCCCATCTGTCTTGGGATCCATTATGACAAACTCTGGACGCAGTTTACTTATTCGTCTGCCCTTGAGGATAGGCACCAAACCTCCAAGATACTCCAGGTACAGAGTGTAGCACGGCCCGCCCACCTCAGGATTATCTTCTGTACGCTTCATTGTACAATGCAAACGCTCATTCCCAGCTGTTGGGTAGCTCACGAAATCCCGCATGTTGTTGGGATCTGGGATGGGGGGCTAAAAAAGAAAACATGAGCTTATAGGAAAGTTTAAAAATGTCATGCCACTATCTACAACCACAGTCATGTTTTCTTACACTAAGCTACACTCCAACTGCAAGTTCCATTGTCAAAATGCCAGGGCTCATTTATCAAGGATCTTGGTCATACTGTATTATGTATTGCTATCTCAGAAGGTGACATCTAAGACAGCACTGGCATGCATCATATAATTGTCCTGGAATCTCTTCACATTAATATTCATGGTTAAAATGCATTACCTTGATGGTGGGAATGAAAGCAGCGGTGACATAAGAACAGAGGCGGGAAGGCATGGTGAGCTTGGCAACGTCTTTTTCCTCCTTCACTGCTGTGGCAATGCCCTGCTGGCAGAGGAGCTGCAGGCTGGCAACATGGTGCTCCACTCGCACAACATAGAGTGCTGGGCCGCACGCCAAGAACAGGCGAGAGTCCCGGTGTCCCCAGCACAGTGTAGTGATGGAGCGCTGCAGGGTCAAGGAGAAGTTGGTTTTGTCACATTCACTGTACTATACTGCACCACATCAGAAGTTTCATATCCACCTTAAATGATGGATGAATGTTAGGGTTTCTGACTGTTATGACTGGGATAATTCTTTCTTAAAATTTGCATCTTTATTAAAAGTACATTTCTTACAGTGAATTCTGAATCTTCTTCAATTACATGCACATAAAGTCAAGGGTGTGCACTTATAGTGGGTGGCTGAGTAGACCTTGGCCAAGGTGCACCTTCAAATAATTCACTTTATTTTAATCTCCTCGTAAAGCTTGACACATGGTGCTACATCTTGAATGCCAGAAAGTATTTTTTTTCTAGGATGACAGCCACTTTGCAGCCAGTTACATCTTAGGTCTTCAAATATAGACTACTTGTTCACCTGTGCTGGTGTGTCAAGTGTGTAGATGTGTTCACCCCGAACATTGTAGAACTTGACAATAGCGTTCCTGATGGGGGGAGGACAGGATGGGTCAGGGGAGAGGGGTGTCCTCTCCATCCCTGCCACTGCAAGGAGGTCCCCCTGTGAGCACCACTGGACAACCACATCTACAGCACAGGACACAAAAGACAAAATAATGTTATGAACATTAACATTTGCAGCCAACTTTGAGAAAAGATAAGAAGATTCCTTGAGACATAACTGTTAAATTATCCATAAACAAGTGTCAGAGAAACAAAAAGTTACTGGGGCTCTTAGGTATAAATTAATAATAAGACGCCCACACACACCTTTCAGACCAGTGTGGATGACGGTGGGAGAGAGGTCATCGTAGTTGTTCATTAGGCTGATGTCTCCAGAAGTGAAACTGACTGTCAGCAGTGGTTTCTGGCTGTGCACTGAAAGAGGAAAGGACAACACAAACATCTTAGAAAAGCAGCGTGTGAGAAACACAACGAGGTGACAGTTTAAAAGTACACAACATGAAGTGTAAAGTGTTCGCCTATGAACATTACTATAACAGGCATATTTATATGTTAGTGGACGTCAAGTCTGTTAAAAGGAGGACTAGTGTTAAATTCATTACACCTGTGCACTGAATAAAACACTAAGGCAATGAGAGCTTCACATTTATGGCAGCTGTAAATCATGTGCTGTGAGTTTCCATTGTGTCCCATGCATGGGCACAATGGCACCAACGCACTCAGCACACCAAACAAGCGGCATTCTCTGTCAAACTATACATAACACCTTCAGACAACCACCCATATGCTTATCATTATGCGTATGTGCATTCACACAATTCTGCAATGACCCAAATATCAACACAAAAAAACCCATCCACCCCTAGAACAGTTACTGCTTCCCTTAGTAATCACTTTACAACGGCATTAAATCAGATATATAATGCTGTTGTAAATGCAGTGTTTTTAGCTGTGCAGTGCAGTGATAATAGGTCATCAGCATATATCATGTTAGAGAGATCTGGCCCGTGGAGGAAGAGGAGGCCTGGTGTCTTGGTCAGGTCATCAACTTTAGACAGAATTTCTAGTGGGACCCATCAATTACTATTGGCTGGTTTAATTGGCGAGTTAGCGCATAATCAGTGTTCCAGCTAAGGCAAGCACTTTCCAGTTTTACCACTTGGCTTGTGATGAAGGGAGGGGAAAAAAATAGCACAGCAGGAGGATGACAGACCCTCACTAAGAAAGCTTTAGCAACTAGAAGTAATTCAGATCAAGACCAAAAAAAAGGCAAATCAGGAACCAATAAAACTCGTTACATGGGCTGGTGTAGATAATGAATTCAACAGAACATGGGGGGGACTAACCACATGCAACTCTTTCCTTAGTGAGTGCTCACACTGAAGTACCAGGGCTATATGCTTGTTACTGCAAGTAAACACATTCTAGGAGAGTCCTAGGGGACTTTGTTAAAGAAAGCACAGTTGAAAATACAATAAAAATAGATTATTTCCATTGAGATTACTTTTTTGTTCCACTTCTGTACAAAGACTTCAAAGAGATGCGTATTGCATCTTAATTCAAAACAATACACGTCCTGGTAGAAGCTGTGATTGTCCACTTGAGTATAATAAAAGTGGACTGCACATGAAGAGTCTAGTGACACATGCCCTTATACTGTGACAGCTACTGGTGTTGTGACAACAGCCTCTGCATCATTAGGTGCAAACAGGAGGCCCAGTGTCAGGACAGTGCTCTTTCATTGCACTGAGGGTTATTGTTCAGTCATACTGTCCTGGGTCAAGTGACAATTGTGGTAATCTTACCACTGTGTTAAAAGTCATCAAACAAAGGATAAAGTCCATACAACACTGCAGAAAAGGCTTTCTTAACATAGGAGACCAGTAACAGATAAGATGACATCATGTTCTTATTTCAGTGAGCACTCAATGCATTTATTGTATGTCGCTTTGGACAGAATTTTCTGAATACTTGTTAAGATTAGCAGCCAACTGCAAATGTCATGTTTGATAATAACTGGTGTAGATTATGAAATTTTTGTCAGCAGATTTCAAAGATACATCTACAAGTGAAATGACTGGAAAGAATGTGATAAGATGATTTTTTTGTGCCCTTATTAGGTTTGAGTGGAGAGGTAAATTGGGCTAGGAGAAATGTATGATTTGCGACAAAGGTCCTCGGGTCCGAATCGAACTGGGGACACTAAGTTTATGTGGTACTTGTCTTAATCTCACACAGCAAGGAGGTGACTGATGGCTGAAGGCGAAGGGCTCGAGTAGGTCACTGCTAGGAGCCTTTTATCTAAGTCAAACTCCAAGCAACAAACCTTGTGGCAGAGAGTAGTCATCAGAGTCGGTGTCGCTCTCACTGTTGTCCTCCACCAGGAAACTGGGATAGTTCCAGGACATGCTGACAATGCCATCCGACTCATGCAGCAGAATGTGGGCCAGCATCCGCCCATGACAGTCCATTACTATCACCTGTCCATCTGCAGTACCAAACAACACCTGGGGGAGTAACAGTAAAGGTTAAGTATAGAGAAGAAAGAGAGATTGAGGGAAAAATAATTTGAACACAAAGAAGAAAAAAAGATGTAAAATCAAGAAACAGAGAAAGAGATGGCAGGTAGAAAGCAAAGAAAGTCAAGAGAAATGCAGTTCACAAAGAAAACAACTTGGAGAAACAGACAACCTGAGCTTGCAATTTAACAGCATGAAAGCAAAAACAAAACCTTGCTTGCTGTCATTCACAACAATCCCTCAGGCCTGTCTCTGGCTTCTGAATGACAGGTATACACATTAAAAGAGGCAAACAAAAACCTGAAACCTTTACATCTATTAGCATTCAAAGGTTGGCATAGTGCTGGGGGGAACATCATACCCATCAACATCAGTAGGGCGTGTGTGTGAAGGAGAATGTGTTACCTGCTGGTCATCGGGGGTCCAGATACCACAGGTGATCTGGCTTTCCAGGTTGATCTCAGAGGACCAGTGTCTCTGACCGCTAACAGAGCCCACCAGTACAAATCCATCACGGTAGGAGATGAGAGCCTGGGTGCCATCATGAGACCAGGTGAAGTCACTCACCTACATGTCATTTAAGAATGAAACCTTGTTAATGAGGTTATTAGGTTTATTAAAAATAACAGTTAGCAGTTATCACAATATTCTACCTTTATACACACTATACACACACTGCTTTGAGCTCTAGGGAATGATAATGATCATTGTTCACAATTTTATAGACAAAACAGTTAAATATTAAACTAATCATTCGCTGCAGCCTTAAAGTAAACACGGTAAAATGCACCACCTGTCCAATTACCTGCAAGAATAAGAAACTGGTCATTATTCACACTGTTCAGATGTTTTAGGTGCCCGGTGCTCCCACTAGCAGAGCTCTAATGATGGCAAAGACAGTTCATCATTTCAAAACACTGAGATGTTAAGAAGAACATGGCCTTTTGTCACTGGCAAGATATTTACACTCTACTTAGTCTTGTTACTTTGAAGTTTCCAGTTTTATCCCAGTATTAACAGTGACCAGCGCTGTCAGAATATCTTCTTCTCATAAAATTTAAATACATAGCCTTTTGCAGACTTTTCATAATAAAAGTGAAATGACTGCCTCTGCTAATTTCTGTAGAAATTCATACACTTGTATGAACTAAAACCTTAACCTCTATGGGGGAAATGAGCAGAGGCATTACTTCAAACAGCATTGGTCTTACATTTTTAAAGGGTGGGGCTATTGTTCAGACTGTCATCTACTTACTAAATTGATCACAAAAGATAAGGATGTGTCAGATGGAGCTCAGCAGATGTCAGCGATTGATCGAACAAGCTTATGCATCATGTTTGTTTTGCAATTATTATGTAAAATCAGGACATTTAATATCAAGATTGTTTCTCCAGTTGGGAAACCTTAGAGCGTAAAGTGTTATCTTAACTCTCTGAATACAATAATGCGATATGATTTTCTGTTACTGAAGTTTCTTTTGCTTCAGTTGCTGTTCCCTGCTTGTTTATATTCACTCCATTACACTTCAATGTATCCTATTTTTATTTCTGTACGTGCTTTCCATATTCTGTGTCAGTGCAAAGTACATTACAACAAATCCAAGTGAAAATGCACTTGTAACCATTGTTTTAGTTTATGTACCATTTCTATGTAATGCATCTTACCTGAGCACCACGGTCATTAACAAGCTCCACGGACCAGCGGCCTTCATACTGGATCCAAACAAAAATACCTCCATCTGTATCACAGGTGGCCAGTTTTTGGAAAGGCTCGTTCCAGCGCACCAACACCACCTTAAAGACACACACCAAAAAACATGAGAGAAGAGCATCAGTAGCAATGATTCAGAAGCTGTGAAGTTCATATTTTAAATGAGAAATATGCCAAACAAACTTTTAGATTGTGTCGTGTGTAGCTGAGCAGTCAAATTCAGCATCAAACCAGATAAAAATACATCACAAAGTGGGTTACCCTCATTTTGAAAAAGTCACAAAGCATATGCTAATAACCTGAACATTACAGACAATGAAATTCAATTATTCCCTTTCCTATCCTTCTGTAACACACTTCTCCTCAAACACAGACATTTCTGAGTGTTCCTCATTGTCTCTCACTTCATTCTAGTGGCCAGCCGATGGTGTGTATGTTTCTGTTTTCCATTTTATCAAAAAAGCATTGGTTTTCTTTTTTTTTTTTAACAGAGTTAAATGCCTAAAAGTAATTTTTAGTACATTTCTAAAAGTGAATGTGACAGTAAAGAGATGCAAAGAAAGTAAAGAAGAAACTGAACGAGAGCCACTGATGCATGAATACAGAGATGGTTCATCATTAGCCTGAGAAACAAGTTACCGAGGAGAGAGAGAGCAGTATAGATCAGACTATTCCCACCCATTCCAATTTCAATCCAGCCCCCTCCTTTCCATGTCTCCATCTATTAAATCTTCTGTGGTGTGACTCAGCCTATTCCCAGTGTAATAACCCTAAGCAGAGAGCAGCTCTGCTCTCACTAATTGAAGCGCATTGGCCGTACATGCTCAAACACACAGTGCAGGGCAGATTTACAGAGCAGCTCTGCTCTCACTAATTGAAGCACATTGGCCGTACATGCTCCAACACACAATGCAGGGCAGATTTATTGGACCTTCTGCCAACAGTGGCTGTAAGTTGGATAGGTTAGCCACTCTTGCCCGTTCTCCTCCAAAGAACGTAGTCCCTTCCTTGCCGGAGCAAACAAACACATCTCATCTATCCATGATCCAGTGGAACGGGCATCATTAAATGTTTCATACAACAGTTCCTGCAATATTCCTGCAAAGTAAACAATCATTCCTCTGATTGCATATTATACAAAATCCTAGAAAACACTACTGTCAGAAGGTTTTAAAAAACTGTTTGAGTAAAATCATTAGAAAACATTCTAATGGAAGATGCATCTATGCAACCACAGCAGCAATGATGAGGTAACTCCAGTTACCAATCATATATTGTGCAGGGTTTCCCCAACAAATTCCTTATTTCTCACTGTTTAGTGTCTCCAGTGATAATAGACAGGGGTATCCTTGGTGAACTTAATGCGAGTTGTTTCTCACAAACATGTTTATACAAATACATCATGCACAGCCCTCAAGTGTAATGAGTGCACAGTAGCATTCATTGCTCTCCTGGCTGTGCTCCCTGAGCAATAAGGTGTCCTGAGAACCAGAATAGCTGTTTTCACTCCCACTCCCAGTGGTATAAACCCTCATGTTGCTCTATGGGTCTCAGCTGGGACACAGCCTGCTGCTGGTCTGCAGCTAAGGTCTCTATGTCATTCTCTGGTGACCATATTCACGGACCATTAACAACAGCCTGCCATCAATCATTCAGGCACAGCAGTCACCTGATGCAGCAGTGCTCAGTGGGTACAGGCGTCTGCATCAAAACTGTCAAACATTAAAAAAAAAAACCTCCAAGCATGAGGATCTAATTGGCAGACTATAAATCCACGTTGTTACTCTATCCGTGAACTGTCTGCAACCCCTGGTGAGCAAAATGGATTTTCCAGATGGTATTATACAACATAATTCAGCTCCAGCCAGTGTAGACATAAGGCTTTAGATTAGGTAGGAGCTCCAGTTTGCATAATATCACTCATACACTGACATTTGGCAGCAAGTAAGGGTAAAAAGGAAATCAGAAAAGAAAACCTCTGAATAGGGTTTGCACATGCTGTGTTCTGCTTGTGCACACTTATCTGCAACCCCACAGAGGTGAGAATAATCTGTGTATGTGTAAATTTAGCTCAGTGTAGAGATTAGTGTGAGCTGGTCAGGCATCCCGCGATGAGGGGGACAGCTGAGCACTTCTCTGTGACGCAGCAATCTAGGAGGTCAGACGTCATATGGAGACAGACAGGATAAGATCAAGGGGCCAGAGGGATCATGGGCAATAAAAGCACAAGCAAACACATGCAGACCTGGAAAATCTTCAACAGTTATCATGTGCCGCATAGTCAAAGACAAGTACTGACAAAAATGAATCACTGGTAGAAGGTGATTAGTGCCCACATTGGTGCTCAAAGATCTATTCAAAAGTACCTTAGAATAAAGTGAACTATTTGATATTTTAAAAATTACAGAGTTGCAGCATGACTGAAAAAATAAATAAATAAATAAATACATTTTTTTTATTCCTTTCATTCTGGCCCACCTGACAACTTCTGCTGTCTTCACTCCTGTGCTGTTGTCATTGCAGCTCTGGTCTCTTACTGGGACTAAGAGACTGGGAGCTGACCTGACCCCTGCAACTTAACCCAATCAAATCAGAGGACAGTTGTGGGTTGCAGTGGAGTCAGCAGAAGTGAGACTGCACCACTGTAACACTGCACTGTCACAGTGGTGCAGTCATGAGGACATGGGTCCATAGCAACACTGGTCCCTGGCACTAAGGACTTTTGTTTTGCAAGAAGGTTACAGATAAGTGGGCCGGACTGGTAGACTGAGAACATTGTTTTACAAAGATTAACTTTACGCTGCTGGGTCACAATTTGACAAACCCACCATTTTGTTGTTTGCTCACACTTAAAAAAAACCCAATACATGCACATATCTAAATGAAATTACACACTGCTTGCAAGATGAAAATAAAGTACATACTATGCACTTGCTTTAAGTTAGGGTTTATATCTACACTAAAGATTTTTGTTCAGTTCACTTTAGTCGTTATTGTACCTCACTGGAAATTTGGCTTGCAGCATAGCAACAGGACTGTTAAAACAGACATTTCCATCTGTAAAACTGAATGAGAAACATAAATCGGAGAGAAAAGACCACACTACAAACAGTGCTGGGATTTCTTGACTAACAAAAGTTAAAAATGGCTGGAAAGTCAAGAGCACCTGGCCAACAATAAAATCAAGCGGCCAAAAAGGAGAGACTACCCTTTCCCTCAACAACCGCCGCTACCTCCTCTGATTGTGGGTCTGACATAAATCAGAAACAAAACTAATTAAGGAAAAGCACTGAGCAGCAGCTGGTAGAAAAGCAAGGAAGCAAATATGGGCAGTGTGTGTGTGTGGGGGAATTTGGAGCATCACAGAAAAGGTTAAGTCTGAACAGACAAGTTAGTTGCAGCATAAGAGACATTGAGGGAGGATCAATCACCATTAACAGCATTAGAAGAAGAGTGCACAGGTGCCATGAATTTTGAAAGTCTAACATTTTCAGAGGACAACAGCCTGAAACTACAGCCAAAAGTGCTTTGGACAGAATGCTGAAACCTGAGTGTTACTTTCCACCACACTAATTCACTGAACAGAAAAGTCTCCAGAAAACCTAGAACCTGGTTAATACCTTACAACTTCTGCTTTTCTTTATTTATGTGTTAAATAAATAAGCACTAAGCATTATCACAGTCCTAGTACTAGAGCAAAGAACAGCTGATGAGATACAAATCAGTGTGTGGATCAGCATGTTCATGTATGGCATGGAAGCAGTACTACGAGCTCAACCTACATGGTGAGGTGGTAAACACAGGCTGGTGTCCTGGGGTCATCTATCCCTGTTGGTTTAGGGCCTTAGTGAGGAGCCTGGATCAGGCCAGACTGGGAAAACAAACAAGAGGGACTACCTTTGAGAAAGAGCCCACCAATAAGTCTCATGAAAATGGCAGCAAGTTGTGTATGAACATGTGTTTTTAACTACCATGTCTGCACAGTCCTTCCTACAGTCACACACAAAACGTCACATCCATCACTTAACAAGGGTTTTTAGTCACAGGTCATAAGCACAACATAATTGGACCAAGGACTTTAACAAAACGCATATTTTTAGCAACCAAAGTGAAAATATTCCCTCAAGGCTATTACTTGATATCCTACTCTCTAGCTTGAGACATAGTGTGTGTGTTCTGACTGCAAGCAACTACTACTAAAAAACAAAAACAAGAGCCATGATGTTGCATGTCACAGAATGTAATGCATTAATGGTGCATAATTTTTTATGTTCATTTTCAATAATATTCAAGTTTAACAGTATTCTAAATAAACACCAAAATATTCAGATAAGACAAATGTTGATAAAAAGTGTAAAATTTGGTAAAGTCTACAGAAGGAAACTGCAACACTATGGATATTTTTGAGCACTTCCTCACACTGCATGGTATATACTGTATGTATACGTCTCCCATAAGACCAACAGTACAGCTAGCAGCTGACGGGATACCGACAGACAACTTGCCCAAAACCCGTGGTGCAGCCAACATTTCCTTGTCGGCATGGTGAGAGTGTTTGTGATGCCTGTCTCGGATGTCAGCTCTCATGGAGAAATGAATGGACTCCTAGTGTCTAGCTGCTTGCTCTGTTCAGCATCTGAATGCACTGTAACTGAAAAAAGCACTGCACTGTCAAAAGAGGCATTGATCTATTCTGATACACATCTCAGAGGGATTATTCCGCAGCATCAGAAGCACAGTGGCGTAAAAAGGCTCAGAACTTAGCGCTTTCATCTATTTTCAATTTGATTAAAGTGTAATGCAACTGACCTGCCGACTGCTAAAGGTCAGCAGTGCTGTTTAAATAATGACAAAAATAGTATCGTGACATTTCAGGGCATATATTCTTTCAGTAAAACTTTTTTTTAAACTTGTCAGGTTGGTTTATTTTTAATATAAAAAGAATTGTTACTCAAGAAAACAGAATTAAGATGTTAAGCTGAGTTGAGCGGAGTTGTTGCAACAGTCAAGCACCTTTTTCAGAACAAAGCAGTTAACATGAATAGCTACTTCCAGCTACTTCTGTGTAAGGATTTCATGCTGCACTTCTCAGTTTTACATAGTTGTAAACAATATAACAGAGTTTTGGACTGCTGGTTGGACAAAGCAGACATGTTGGGCTCTGAGGAAATGTAATAAGAATTTTTTCCCCCACTGTTTTTGACATTTCAAAGGAAAACTTTTTTAGCCTTTATTTGATAGGGCAGAGGACAGAGACAGGAAAGCCGGGTGAGAGAGAGAGAGAGAAGGGGGACTAAGATCTGTGGCCGGACTTGAACTATGGGCATCACACACACCAATATGCATTCATACACGCCCGCTGAAACCACTCAACTATGCAGGGCACCCAAATTAAAGTACTTAATCAAAAAACAATTAGGAGATTAATCGATAGTGAGAAGAATGTTTAGCTGCTTGCAGCCCTAGTTAAAGTCAACATTTAAAGGTATAGTTGGCGTTCCTGGAAAAAGCCCTTTGAAGCCGTTACCGTGTAATTATGGCTCACCCTGGCTGAAAGGGAGTTAGACAAACCTTCATCAGAGATGTACTACAAACCTCAGAAAACCTTTTCATTATCTCAAGAGGATCATGAGAACTTTTGGAATTGGTGCTGTAGCAGCTGAGGTTCACCACAATATAAGATGCTTTTATCCAAAGTGCCTCGTAGTGTGCCAAGCTTTTAATGATGTGTGAACATGAGTGTAAATCAGGCCTCTGATTCAGGCAAGGGCAGTGTGACCCTCTACGGGAATACAACCCTCAACCTGTCTGCCCTGTTCTTAATGGCTTAAGATCTGCCCTTTATTTTACTACATTACTCATAGTGAACCAAATCCAAAAGACACATCCATTCAGACGCTTGCTTAGATTATAATGATCACAGGTCCCTTGCATCTATACATCAACAGGAATAATGGTCAAATTTAAGAACCCTGGCAGGGATGCTGATGAGGACGAGCTCAAGTGGCATTTGTTTAAGTGTGGTCATTCATAACATGACCTGAGCTTATCTGTGGGAAAGCTTGTCACCAGCGACAACAAATTTTCAGTGACAATGCTGACATTAAAGAGACTGAGGTTACCCAAATGTAGTTTACATCACTGCTTCAAAAGTTAAAATCATGTTGGTTTGAGGAGAGTTGTGCCTGTTCTAAAACATATGTTAAAAACTAGACAGGACTATATACCAAGCTGTAATGCGTCATTTTCTTTAGCATTGGACTGTATATTGCAAACAGCATCCTCTTGTCTCCTCACCAAAACTGGGATGGAAAATATCTTGAGTGAGTGAACAGATATGTCATAGCCTGACTGAATTCATTAGGTGGTGTGATTTTCACCACTGTCAGAAACCCCAGATTATGCACAGAGTGGATGAGTGATGGATTTCATATTTCCCAACACATTTATTGCTTTATATCATATCTAGCGTGAAAGTGGAGATGACATTATTACTACTGGAGTGACAAGAGCCACACACTAACTTTACCTGTAACGTTTGTCACATCATCAGGACATGTATAGGGTTTTTTTATTTATTTATCATGGCTCATGATAATAAGAAATACAATTCAGCAGGTGCCACAGCCTTATACATCTTTCTTACCTCGCTGTTATGTCCTCGAAGGTTGAAGTTAACTCGCTGCGGGGTCGCGCGGTCCCGTCTGCAGTGGCTGGACGTGAACGTGACCCCCACAACTCCTCGGCCGTTCCCGGTAGCCAGCCAGCCCTCCTCGTAGTAGCGCTTCCTGCACACCGGCTTCTCCTTCTCTCTCTTGGGCACCCGGCCCTTCCAGGACAGGCACAGAATGTTGGAGTCACTGCAGAGGACTGGGCCACGCTCCACGGCGGCGAACATCCCTACAGATCACTACACCCCCCGTGGATAAAAAAAAAAAAAGTGTACAGAGGGTGGTGGGTAGTTATTCGGAGGGATCGGTACCCTTATGAGTGCCTCTCCTCCGCTGAGGTTACCGGTTCAGTGTGGAATGTGAGATAGCGACAACGATGCATAGTAATTGTGCTTTCTGTCGACTATCTGGGTGATTTGCAACACTGAAAAAATATTGGTAAAACTTCTCTAAAAGCACAAACGAGGTCACAGAATTGGGAACATTAGCACTGCTGGACTGAAGGTATCATGTAGCCAAATGGCCTGCATACACAAAAAAAGGCACTCAAGTCATTTTGATGTGTTTGATCAGTGAGCTGCCTTAGTAATGCTGTTTCAACAAGAAGGCAACAGAGTACTGGGAAAATCGTTTAGAAATCCCTTTTAAAGAGTCCAAACTCACATCTGCTGATCAAAAACAAACATCTCCGAAAAGCTTTAACTCATACACAGGTAATCCATTCAACACGTCCCAGTGCTTCCAGGTGATCAGAGTAAGGTTTCTGTCCAGTTCAGTATGTCATCTCTGGGCTCCGCATCCCCTTCATAAGATCTAGGTTGTGTGGGTGAGAGGAGGGGAAGGGACTCCTCTCCATCAGCTGTCAGTCCGCAGGAGAGCCGCTTCTCCCGTTAACGTCATTGCGTCTTTTCAACCCGCCCCGGGGATCCCATGGAGGACTGCTGGATAATACAAAAAAAGGATGATGCCATTATCACAAGTAAGATGTCGCTAACAAATAAACACGTGCGTTTGTTGTACAAATGACGGTTTGAATCGTTTTATAAAGCGGACGATGTGACGCTAAAAGCACTCATCTTCCGCCCACAGCTGTTAAATTTAAAAAGTGACACGCTTGGCTAATATTATCCTTCATTTATATCGCTTTAGTTCTAGGACTATACTGCCCAGCGGAAGGATATTTTACTTATTGCTGAATTATTTAAAGAAGCCATGTATCATTTTAGCTCTTTTATTACCAACACTATAATCTCAAACAGTATAAGGGGGAAACAGACAAGAGGCAAATAAAACAATGTGACTGAAGAAGGGAAGGAGATACGAATTAGACAGTGACAATTACAAAAGAAATCCAACAAGGTCCAGACAATAGTACGTTGGGATTTGTGATACTATAGACTAATCTGACAATAAAATGACACCCGATAGACAACTGTTGAATAAGAATATAATTGACATTTGGATTAAGCCTGTTATCGTTATGAAAATATTATTATTCACACTAGCTGCAATAAGACCAAAGAAACTACAACAGCATATCATATGGCTCCAGCAAAAGAAACTTACATGTGAATCTATTGAAACTTAAACAAAGCCCCAGTGATACTAACGTGACTAAATGACATAGAAATACAGATGAAACCAGTGAGATGATGCAAAAATATCCCCAACACCCATCACCGTGATCTGCCTGCTAACCTAGCTACAGTTAGCCCCTGAATGTGGTATCAAAATAGAGAGATCAGCGAGCTCCACAGATCAAAACCTGTCAGCAGCAGTTAAATTGATTTTTCCGGTCTTAATCTGTCTTCTTTGTGCTGTAACGATAATCTACCCGAGATACTCGTAAATGTAACGATGGCTGCCTGGGTTGTCTCCTCCACAAAGAACAGTCAGTGATAGCTAACCGGCTAACGGACCAGTTAGCTAGCTAGCTAACTGAACCTGAACCACCATCAGCGGAGACTGGCCCCGTCCATCCGCCGCTGGCACTCTTCGCTAACAGGCTATTGCTAGCACGTTAACCAACTGTTTATCCTAACGTTTGACATTATGTACATATAGCTATTCATTATAACTATACTTCAGTAGTGAGACAGACAAAGTAGCAAAATAATATCAGACCTATCATCAATAAAGCCGGAGAACCATCAACAGGCAACAGAGTGCTTACCTCGACTGTGCACTCCTATTTCTTCCTCTATTTCCAGCCAGCTACTGTACACTGGTATGGCCCGACAGCCGACTCACCTGACATGCACGTGATCCAAATCCAATTAATTTATCATCGTTCAGTCTATGATTAGCATCAATAACTGCAGTGGTCTAACTTTATGCTTTCAGATGAAAAGGTTCTTCAGTGTCAAACTACAGCTCAGTTGTTAAGGTTGTCAATGTACACATAAACATAGGGTAGCATGCAGTGGCGGAAGAAGTAGTCTTAAGTACAACAATTAGCCTACACAAATACACAGAATATAAGCAGCGGTGGAAAGTAACTAAGTACATTTACTCAAGTATTGTGCTTAAGTACAATTTTGAGGTTTCTGTACTTGAGGATTTTAATGCTACTTACTTCGACTTCACTACATTTTAGAGGCAAATAGCCTATTGTACTTTTTATTCCAATACATTCATTTAGTAATTTCAGCTACTGGTTGCTTTTCTGAATCAGATTAATTAAACAAAATACAGTATAATCATAAGACGTTTTTGATCCCTGTGGGAAAATTACCCAGCAGTGGGCAAATTCAGAGTACAAGCATATAATGTATAAACTGTAAAATACTAAGTAAAAGCACTTCAAAATTGTACATAAGTAAATGTACCGGCACTAATATTATGTAATAGTACAGATAAAGACACTGTTTATAATAACCAGCTCTCCTTCCACAACATGGTGGTTTTTAACACCTAGCTGTCACCGTGGTAGTTCACCCTCCGGGGCACACGGGGGCAGTATGTAAAGCTGTTCCTCCTCCTCCTGGCAAGCCTTCTCAAAAAACATGGCTGCTCTCATGGGTCTCAGGCGAGAATTATTTTCTCTGGCAAGGATACTGACCGGAATCTCACATTTGGTATAGTCAGGTTTTTAGGCAACATCTGAGACTAATTAACTAACTAGAAAGCTCTATAGGTTAGGAAAATTGAACTTAGCTGATCAAGAAATAGCAGTTTGGTCTATGATTGTGGTTGTAGCTTGGTGGTCTTAACGTACAGTAACGTTAAGGCTAAATGCCATTTCTCACGTGTCCACTAATGTAAGTTTATTTATTTCCAGGGTCCGAGATTGGGCGCCTGCTCAGGGCACCGAAAATGTAATACAACCAGGTAGGTCTGTCCTCTAACGTAACTCGTATCGTAGTTTATTCGTTACACATCAATATAACACTAGTGCACCATACTGGTGTAGAGATTGTAATTCACGAAGATAGGGACAGAATAATTAAAGCGAAACGAACATATAAGCACATTTTAAAATGTGGAAAATGATTTTAAAACTTGGTAGTTTGTACTCAAAAGTTATGTCTCCGCAGCTCCCATTTCCCACTGACATCCAGCACTTCCTTTCACACAGCGACAGTGTTTTCATCTGTAGCTTCATCGGTAAGTTATCAGTACAAAACACACAAGATGCCTAACTAATAACAAATCAATAGTCTTGATTTTTGCTGGTGATATCAGATTAATTTGATTTCCTTTTGCAAACATTTCCAAGAAGCTGGACCACAACACATGAAGGCTGGTTTCCTTCCTACATTTGTTTTCCATTGCAGATCCAGGTCACAGAAGAGCCCGACACACTGTTTCAGAAGGTTTCTATTATAGTCAAAGGTCATGACAGAGCTGTGCTGGACAGTTATGAGTTATTCGCCACCATGGCAGCTAAAGAGCTGAGTATCACCATCAGCAAAGTGTGAGTCTTGGCAGAGTTAAATAGCCACACACCAGCAATGATAATTGTTTATCGCGGTAAAAACAGTACACTATTCTTATTAATGGTGTATTTTTTTCATTATTTTTCCTCTGCAACAGTTATGAACCTCCCAGAGATGTGGAGAGGTTGACACTCCTGAAGTCGGTACACATCTTCAAAAAACACAGGGTCCAGTATGAGATGAGGACACACTACCGGTGCATTGAAGTGAGAACCTTAAAACCTGGTTAATTTAATAATTAAGTAAAGGCATATAGACATTAAGTCCTTAGGGTCTCTCAAAACCAGAAATTAATTAGCTGGAGACTTTATACTGCACTTTTAACTTAGGGCAGGAGTACATGCATTACTATACTCATTGATTTATTAGGTTAGGTTCCCAACCGTCTGAGCAGAAGTGTGACTAGATACAAGTGAAAGCACCTATGTGGATGCTGTTGTGTCAGAAGGTTATAAAGTTATTATTCAGGGGTCATCTGTTTAAGTTGTCTCTTCTCGTTTTGTAGTTGTCTCATTTAACGGGCTGCACAGCACAAGTATACCTTGAATACATTCAGAGGAACCTCCCTGAAGGTGTAGCCATGGAGGTGACAAAGGTGAGTCCTGCTCTTATTCTGCATGAGGGACAGATTTCACTCGGCCTTTGAACCACAAATGAAGCAGTGAATTTATCCCCCTCTATTTGTTCTGCTCTGATCAGACCGCCATAGAGAAGGTTCCAGATCACATCCTGGAACCCACGTGGAAGGACCATCCCATTGATGACAAGCCCAGTCAGTGAATGCAGTGATGAGCAGCAGATGATAATTGGATGTCTTCTTTAAGGCATTACTGAATATGCTGAGTAATGAGGAGGAGAGTAAAATGTAATACTGATATGTGCTTGTCATGGATGCCTGAACTGCTTGTCATGTTATTCAAAAGAGACATTCAACAAAGCTGATACAGAGGTCCTCTTCAGCCAGTGTCAGCATGTAACAGTGACTTTGTGTGCTGATAATTTTCATGTATTTATGTGGCAAACTGTGGAGATAATTGTTTTTTTCACCCCAATAAACAACAACTTCTCAATTTATTGACAACTAACACTTTTGAGCTGTTATTTAGTCAGATCTTTGATTCTGTCTTCAACATACTGTTGTTCTATACCCATCTTCTGTGACACTGGACTGGATTGTTACTCTATATAAACATGTATATGCTGTTGGACACAAGACCACTACAAAACACTGTTTTCACATTTATTGAATAATTAGTATACATGAATTTATAAAATAAAACAAATGGGATTGAGCATTTATCTTCATTGAAAAAACTGTTTACTGCCTGAAGGCTAATATGTCCCACCATTTATAAGGATATTTCCTGGTATAGTTACCATAGTAGATGTTTTTCTCCATGGCTCTGTTTAAAGATATTTGAAGACTGGCCCTCCCCTTCTCTTCCAATGTTAAACTCAGCTGTCACATAGAGAAAATACTAACTATAGTGTGCCATAAATGGAACCAGTGGTGGGTGGTAAATTATCAGTTGTACTCAATGAAAATGTCACAACATTCATAAATGAATAAGGATTTATTTATAATATGTACAAATTATAAACAGTACATGAGGAACATCAGTGACCAACATTTTTCATATTTCTCATAATTTATGCTCCTGTTTGACATAAAATGTGGTCTGTGGGTCAATGATAGCATTTTAATGCTAACTGTAATTTATACTTTCTAAGAATTTATTTGACATAAAATGTGGTCTGTGGGTCAATGGAAGCATTTTTACACTGACAGTAGTTTATACTTTCTAAGAATTTAAACTCAAACACATAATAATTGAGAATATTGTTCATTAAACCAATGCTCTGACAGAAGGGAGGCCTTGTTAGTCCTAATGATCTGTTTCTCTGACAAACTCTAAATTGATTAAAGTGAATAGATTTGGTTGAACAGCACAGACAATCAGTAGAACTTCTACTTCTATCAACCCAGTGTAGGTGGTTGAGAAGGATAAACTGCCCAAGACCCAGTGTGCAGAGCCTGTAGAGACTCGACTAAAAACAATCTTAGTTGATGTCCACACAGCTCTGGATGTGGACGTGGACTGCTCAGATGATGGACTCCCTCTGGGTGTCAGTCAGTAATGTTTAGACACAGTGAACCCCAGAAAACTCCAGTCTGATTCCAGTGTATTGTAAAGTCTTGTCGTTACAGGAGTCGACAGGCTGTGGTCAAACTGCTGTGGTCTGAGAGGAGCCCAGCTGCTGCAGCAGGAGGGAAACGGCTTGAACCTGTTTATGTGAGTAGATCAGCTCCACATCAGGCTGCAACAAGAAGAGACTGTGGTCAGGATGTGAGCTACAGAAATGAGGCTGAGCCTGGTGAACCCACAGTGTTCACACATTAGGAAACAGTGGAAACTCATCTGAGCTGAACTGAAGCTGTCAGACCATTTTACTTCTGTCTGCTGTGTGCACATTACTGACTTTATTAATTCACTGTTTAAATAATGATGTGTATAACAGACTCCTGTGTATTCAAATGTACTAGGAAAACAACAAAAGACTTTATTCTTCAATGTGTTATTTTCCATCCACATGTACAGGAGAAATGGTGCTCGGACTCAGAAGTGGGCGCCCGGCTAAGATGAGGCCAAAGGCACAGAGTGCTCAGTGAGGTGAGGACAAAGTCCAGAGACAAAGTGGAAGGTTTAAAGGAGTGGCTGTACCCAGACTCTGATTCCTCTGTAGAGCTGAACCAGCAGCTCCTGGGGCAGGTCGAACTTCCTGAACTGGAGCAGGAAGTTCATCCTCTGCTGTGGCTTCTTGGTGATGGTGCTGATGTTGGACGTCCACTTCAGGTCCTGGGA